ACGAATCAGACAAATCAGGAATTCTGTAGATCATTTGGCACAGTACTTATTACGTCGTCATTCCATAGGTCATCGATCATCGGCGCAGTAAGGTTGATTTCAGACGTTGACAATGGTAATATTTTAAACTTGAAAGCCAATATTTTATCTATTAGTGATTTAGGTTTATGTAAACTTGTAGAATATTTTTAATCATCTAAAAAAATGATATTTATAGTGTTTTACCATTTGTAGCATCTGAAGTTTTAAGAGGTCAACCTTATACTTTATCTAGTGATATATATAGTTTTTTATAATTATGTGAGAATTAATATCTGGAATTCTTCCATTTGATAATGAAGCTTATGATTTTCAACTTGGTTTAGATATTTGCAAAGGTAAACATTCTAAAGATATTGAAAATATTCCACAATGTTATATAAATTTAATGAAAAATGTTGGGATATAGATCCATTAAAAAGACCAATTATATCAGAGATTATAAAAATTGTTGAAAATTGGAAAGAAAATATTATTTTTAGAGATTTTGAAAAAGAATTAAAGAATATTTTAGAATTTTATAAAGCAGATAAAGTATTAAAACAAATACAAAATAATAATATTATTAATAATAAAGTTACTATTAAATCACATTCACAAGCATATTATACTAGTTAATTACTTAATTTTACTGAAAAATTAAATAAAACCTTAAATCAAAATATTATAAACACAGCAGAAGAAAGTCAAAGTATTGGTAATTATTTTTAAAATCATAAATTAAAAATTTTTAAATAATTAATTTTATTATACTTATATATTTTATTGATTTATAAAGAATTTATTTATTATTAATATAAAATAAATAATTTAATATAATATATATATATTATTTTATTTAATTAATTTTTGATATTTTGAAAGAAAATTAAAATATTTACTATATTTAAATTTTTATATATATTAAAATTTATTTAATAAACACTACTATATATAGAGTAACTTTTATATAACAAAACAGTTTGTAATCATTAAATAAACAAATTATTTTTAATTAAATATTTAAATTATTATTGATCATTAAACATGTTTTCTAATTTTAAGATTATTGCTAAAGTTCATATATTAAAGCAGTTCTTTAAATTATAACTTAAGAATTGAAAAATTAATATTATAAATTTATTTTTATTGTAGTATATTTTTAGTTTTATTGCTGTTATTAAGCTTAAATAATACATTATTAAATTAACAGATTGTATTTATTAATAAGAAGTTTATATTAAGTAAAACTTTGTATTAGTTGATTTGAGTTGACTTGACAATCAACTTGAGTTAAGCTGATTATTTTAGCTCAACTCAGCTTAATTTGAGTCAAAAATATAATAAGCTAAGCTGATTTGCAAATTAAATAAGCTGGCTTATTTGGTTTATATTATTAACAAAATCTGAAAAAATATTTAGAATAATTAGAAATACTTTAAAAAGTATTTTCTTTCAAGATAATAGTTTTCAAAACATTCTTTTCAAGAGAAATAAAGTGAATTGATTCTGAAATATTTTCTTTAAAGAGAAAATGCTTCTAGAATATTTATTTTGAATAAAAATGTTATTAGAATATTGTTTTTAAAAAATGTTATCAAAGTATTTTCTTTAAAGAAAAATCTCCTAAAATATTAATCTCAAAAAAAAAATGCTATTAATATATTTTCTTTGAAGAAAAATACTTTTAGAATATTAACTTTGAAGAAAAATGTTTATTAAAGCATTAATTTCAAAAAAAATACTACTAAAGCATATTCTTTTAAAAAAAATGCTATTAGTATGTATTCTTTAAATCTAATATTCTAGAAGTAAATTTTTCTTTAAAATTAATATTTCAGTAACATTTTTCAAAAATAATTTTCTAGTAGTATTTTTTTGAAGTTAATACTTAAAAGCATTTTTCTTTAAAAATAATACTAAAATTCTAAACGGATCAGATTAAATTAGGTGACTTGTCAGATTGCCTTAAAAAAATCAGGTTAGATTAACAAAATATTAATCTGATCAACCTATTGATCTAATATAAAAATAATAATTTCTATAAAAACAGAATGTTATCATGAAAACATTTGGAATATTTGAAGTATATACAAATATGTCATTATTTATATTATTACATAACTATTAATTAGGTAAACTGAATCATATAATCAATTGAGTAATAGTAAGATCTAGCTCAATTTTTATGACAAATTAAAAGAAACTTTAAATATATTAGATTTTGATTAATACTGGTATTCTTTTATGACTAAATTTCTGAATTAGCAAGTATGTGAACTTTTAATTCACTATTATAACTCATAATTTCTTCTAATATTAGAAAAATACTAATATTATAATAACTAAGTTAATAATGTGCAATTAAAGTATTTCATAATATTAATACTTAAGCTTGTTGATGATTTTAAATACAGTTGATGACACAAAGTAAGTTGTTGATACTAAATAATTTGTTAACACAAAGTAAGTAAGTAATACTAGGCAATTTGCTGACATAAAGTAGGGTTGATATAAAACAAGATGTTTTATATGAAACAATTTAACAAAGAGTTTTTATTAATTTATAAAATTAACTTTCTAAATTTTTATTGATACATGATAAAAAACTCAGCTTATTTTATAATAAAATTTCTATACTAAATTGCTATCTATTACATAAAACTATGTAATAATTCTCTCAATTCTCTATATAATTCTGCTATAATATTTGAGTAATAGCTACCTAATCGCTATGCAATAATTCTATTACTATAATATATTTATATTTAAAAAGATATAAAAAATATAATTATATTGTTCTTTAATTATTATGTTAATACTTAGCTTTTAACTAATTTTTTTTCTTGAAATTTTCTTTTGAAATTTCTAATTTAGAAGATTACATGTATCATCATAGGCTAATATTCTATTTTATTACTTTATCTTGTTATTAATTGATTTGGTTAATTTTGTATGCAGATCATTATATCATAGATTCTTGCATATTAATTTTTGTGATCTACATATTGATCCTATTATAGATCTTTTACTGTATTACAATTTTCTATTTCTTTAAAGATTATTTAGATTATATTATGAAAGAATTTTGATTATTCTTAAAAATAAGAATAAGATGTTAAAGAGCAAAAATATTGTCAGTAAGATATTTATTCAAAATTGCTCTAACAATTGGTCATTCTATTTAGGGATGAAGAACAAAAATAAATTCTTTTTTTTTTACTAATTAAATCAATTTCTAAACTTGGAGTAAAAAAATAAATTGTTATATTCTAATTTTAAAATATCTTTAATTAAATTACTATTAAGATTATCTAAAACTAATAAAAAAATAAAAGAATAAAGTTTGAATATTTTAAATGTAGGAAGAAAAGAGAAAAAATAATAAGGATAGCTAATTATTTAGCCTAAAAAAGTAAAGAAATTTTATCAGTAGCTAATAATTAATCTAAAAAAAATCAGCTTGTATTTTTTAATTATATAAGTTAATTTAATCAATTGTTTTTGTTAGATAAAGGAATTTAAGGATATATAAATCCTTTTTGTATTTAATTTCATATTATTTTATTCAAATAAACATTTATATTAATATATTCTTACTTTAAAAGACTTAACATAATTCCTATTAGATTATTTGATGATTTATTATAAAAGGACTGGTTCCAAAAAACTAATAGTAAGACATATAAATCTTCTTTTGTTTAGAGTTAAAAAAGTCTTATTAAAGAAATTAAATAGTATAGAAACTGAAAGTTGAATTGATATAGTATACTAGTTAAGAAATATTAGAATTGTTGATTTTAAAGATATTTGAGTTAGTAAACGTTATTACCAATAAACAGATAATTAGAAGTAAAAACTGCAAAATGAGAATTGTATTTAATAATTGTTTTAATAGAAATGGTTAATTTATTACAATAATCATTTGATAATAGGTTAATTTGTAATTTGTATTCTATAAAGAAAACAGAATTAATTATATTAGTAATATAATATAATTATTTATTTGTTAATAGTTTCTTTTAAATGTTATGATAAATGATCTAATAGGTTCTATACTTTAGTTCTTTACAAATATTAAAGAATTATTAATATTGATTCAGAATCCTAAAAAACAGATGGAAGATCTTTTAAGAAAAATATCTAATAATTTAAAATTAAATTTTAGATTAAATAATTAGAATTATTGATAAGTAATTAAAATTTATTTTATTTATCCCTTAGATTGTAGGGTTTTGTAGGCAAATTTACCTACTTATTTACTATAAATTCTCTTCTGATTTACTTTTATAAATAATTAATATTTTTTTTTAAATTAATTATATAAATATGTATATTATAATAAGTTTTATCTTTTAATTATATAATAAAAAATTTAATATTACTTAGAAGCTAAAAATTTGTAATTTTTAAAAAAAATTTATTTTAAAA